TCTGCGTGGAATGGCGTCTTTTCAAAAACACTGTAAAAATCACTTTCAGAAAAATAACCTTCTTAATAGAATAAACTAGAGTGACCTATCCCTACACCTATCCAATCCAATTTAAATTTTCTTACATCACCTACGTAGCCATGGGTCCGAGATTACAGAGATCACATGAGCATATGACTAATCTTGAATCATTATCTCGTGTCGACCAATCAAAGCTTGAAAGACCATCGTCCAATCAGAAGTTGGCATGGAAAACTATGCTAGGGCATTTCAAGTAGATATCTGTGACACGCGGAGTTTATACTTTTCTATATCACGCCACCTTCAATGATTGTCTTCCTACTGTCGGCCCCCACATTTTGGGGCCCCTAAATTTGGATTAGTAAAGTATGAATGTTATATATTTTAGAGATATCCACACGTCTATTCGGAACACAAGAAGACAATTCAAGGAAATTTAGTGCTATCTAGATCTGGTTGTTGAAAAGTATTGGCAGGAGGAATCAGTATTAACTATGAAGTAAGAGGAGAAGGACTAATTGGTTTCGAATCTAATTATGTCTTTAAAATCTCATTTTATTTGTAAACGTTGTCAGCTCACTCGAGAATACGACCACATATTGTGGGATGCGTTCACCCTATTTTGTTTAATGTGATGAAGGACTAGTAGTTGAATTCTTCCACAATGATATGAGTAGACCTTACGTTTATATCGAATTTCACGTATGCCTTGCTTCCAAAAAGGTATTCTCAGTCAGGGTGGACTGCAGTTTCGTTCTTGTCTAGGCCTCATTAAGACCTTCAGCGGGACTCTAACCAGGACATTGCAACGTTTAGTCTCGACACGTTAGCCACTACGCCACATTGTCCCTTTGTTCACAGGGCAGATCTGAATTACAGGAAAGGCTAGAGATTTTCCCAAATCATATCCTGTCATATCCGATGTAGAAGATGTTTCAAATGTCTACTTACAAATAAAAAATATGTAACGTAGTTGATTATTATATCAAATATAACTTGAACAAAACATCTCATAAAATTATTATACCAGACATACTGATAGTCCCGAAACCTACTTACTGAGAATAAATAACATAGTCGTAATACACAAGTTTACCTCATCAACAATCTAACTATAATTGTAATTACAGAGAGGTCTGGCTGGCATAGAGATTCATGTTTACGATATGATTCGCTGGCCTTAATTTCTGAATAAACAAATGGTAACATGTCAAAATCATACTCTATTAATTCCAGGTTTCAGTCTCCTTACTGTCCACCCTGGACAAAAATTCATTTTGGAAAGTAATGCATCGTAAGGCCTACTCATATCTGTTTGAGTAGATCATAAATAAGAATTGTATTTATCTGTGGTTCTGAAGGACTGATAGTTGAATTGTCTCAAAGCGTTATGAGTATACCTGCAAAAGGGCAAAGCTAGGTGAAGCCTAATGGCATCGTGAGGCCTGTTTATATAATTTTAGGAAAATCCAACTATCAGGTCTTACTCATCTTTTGTGATCTGTACTGAATACAACTCTTGTCCAAACTCTACTCACAATGATATGAGTAGGCCTCATGAAGCTTTGCTCCTTATTTATTCAAGTATTGCTCGTATGAGTTTGAGACACGCTCATATATAAAATAAGTAATGTTATCGATTGTACTGGCAAATATAAGTGTACCCCTCAGCAATAAGTGTGATTTTGTCAGGGCATAGTTTGCCTTGAAGATCGCATTTACCCTGAGACCCGTTGCAACCAGGTTGCTATGCGGAAAAACATTTTTTGGGAGGCAAGGTTTTTAAGTGAAATTCATGATTTAGAGCTAGCCAAACTAGGGCCCTCAGGTTGATTTAAGGATGACATCCTTCTCATCTGATTGTGGGAAAGTTGAACCAACCCTTGAGGAGATTTTCATTTCGCATCAAAGTGCATGAAGAAGAGATTCGAAGGTTGATCTCACCAGAAGAGGATGGTTGAATCGCGTTGTACTGCTGCCGTTTAGCTTTAATACGAGCTTCAGGTTCACGAGGTTCACGAGATATCCTACATCGTTTCGAGTAAAAACGGACTAAGATTTCGTCCATCATATGTTGGACATCATCAGAACTTGAAACTATTTTTGTAAAAATCTTACATTAACACTAGGTCAAGAAGGCTATCTTTTATATGCTCACAACTAAAAACCGCAATGGATAGAAATATATAGCTATCGAAGGGCTTGGTTAATTATCTTTATGAGTTGTGTTTATCCAATTTCGTTTAGGGTGATGAAGGACTGGTAGTAGATTTTTCTCACAATGATAGGAGTAGAGCTTAATCTAACATGTTGGGCGAGGGTGACTGAAGTTGGAGCCATCACCGAGCCGACAAGTTGAGTCACCTTCATTTAGATGGGCGCTCACCACTCATACTCTCTTTCAATTTATCAATCAAGCATAAATAGTTATTTTCGTATTAGAGTAGAGTTTCGAGACTACCATTAAATCAGTAATATGAGATGTAATCAGCCAATTTTGTTTAAGGTGATGAAGGACTGGTAGAAGAATTTTCCCACAATGATATGAGTAGAGCTAAAGTCTCCATTGAGTTTCACATAGCCTTGCTTTCCCAAAAGCTGTTCTCGTCCCGGCTGGAGTGGACTGGAATTTCGACCTCGCATTGGTATTATCAACTCCCACAGCGGGAGTCGAACCGTGACATCGCAGAATGGGGGTTTGACACTATAACCACTTGGCAACATTGCCAA